CCCCCCCCCCCCCCCCCCCCCCGTGGCTGTGCTCAGAGTTGTGAAGAGCCACTATACCAGAATGATCGGTGCTTTAGCTCTGAGGTCCTTCTCAAGGTCATGGAGTAAAGAAACAGAAGTGCAAAAGAAATAACTGATGCTCAGGAAAAAATGGTCACTGAGGAATTGAAAATAAATACTTAAAAAAAAATCCTCCAAACCAGGCTTAATCTTTTGTAGGTTATGAATTACTTGGGCGCTAAATTTTTCATGATAACGTGAAATACCTACTGAGATTTCCTGGAAAAAAAAATCACAAGTGATGAGTCGGTTCAAATTTATCATTTTTCTTTCCACATACCTGTGACTAGGAGTATAACATATATATATATATATATGTATATATATATAAATGATTTATATATAAATGTTATATTCACACATGTGAAATATATATATGAAACACGTGGATGCACGCCATAATTAGATAGTTGGGCAAGAAGCCAGAAATGGGTTGTTAGGAGAGTCTTTTAGTTTTATGCTTTTTAATGTCTGTGTATTTATTCTGGGACACATCACTGCATAAAAAATATCATAATGTGTTGATTCTGAATGCAGAGGCTTTTAGAACATTGTGAAAAGTTTTTCCACTTTAATCAGAGAGTAGAGAATTAAGTCTAAACCAAAAGATTAGTGAGCCTGTTTCCCTGTTGTCTGTTTTGAGATTTTTGTCTGTCTAATTTCAAACAGGGTCTCACTCTGGCTGGCTTAGACTCTACAGGTGCCCCTCTGTTCCTCCTCCTGAGTGCTGGGCTTGGCCTGCACCACCAGGCCCCCTCCCTCGCTTCTTCTTAGAGATGTTCTAAACTTTTCTGTTAGGATGGCAAATCATTTAATTAAGTAAATTTAATTCTCCAGTTAGCATTCCATCAAGTTCAGGTTTCCTCCTGGAGAAACCATGCAAATTCCTACAGATTTCCATAGGATTTTGCCAGGTGTAGCACGATTAATAAAAACCCAGAGACAGATATTGGGGTTCAACCTAAAGGTCAGAAAAGCGAAACAGCCAGCCACTGGCTCTTACCTCTGCCTCAGTCTGAAGTAATGATCTTGCCTCCAGGAATCCTCAGAATGAGACTGTGTCTGAGAACTGTCTCCTCCCTTCTCGAAGGCCGGGATTAAAGGCGTGCACCACTACTGCCCAGTTTCTGTGACATACTAGTTGCCTGGTTTCTGTGACAAGCTAGTGTGGCTACTGGGATTAAAGGTGTGTGTCACCACTGCCTGGTCTGTACAGCTGACTAGAGTGGCTGTTTTATTCTCAGAACTTCAGGCAAGCTTTATTTATTAAAATACAAATGAAATATCGCTACAGCCCCAGGGACCTCAGAGAGAAACAAACATAAAATTGGGGTCCCTCTTCTTCATGGGATTCTGTTTTGTTTGGTTTTAGGAGCAAACAAATTCCTCTAGGACCCTGGTAAGCTAAGTCCCTACAGAAGGCTGAGGTCAGGTCTCTCTCCATCTGCACACAGCTTCTCCCTGCCAGTCTAGCCTGGCCGGCTTGTCAGGTGCAAGCCCCTTCCTAACCCACTGGGTCAGCATGAAGTACTCCGCGACCAGCACAGCCCAGCTGAGCTCTCCAGATACCAGGGGATCGACCCCATAACAGACACAGCAGGGTGACTGCCAATTAGGCTGGCCCTGTCCATGGGGCAGCCCACAGACGCTACTTGTGTGCAGACCAGCTTGCTCACGTTCTGCCCTAGGACATTTTTTTTACCCTCTCGTCAGCAATCAAGCATTGTCAAAACAAAATATATATATATATATATTATATATCCTGTACTTTCTCTTGGACTTGTTCTTTCAATTTCTGTAGTTCCATTATTTATTAACTTTGCCCAGTTTCTCCTAATGAAGCTTGTTAGAGTGAATTGAGGAGTAATTCTCAAATCTCTGTGACAGAATTTAAGACATCCTTCTAGGCACATGGAGCTCCAGTTTGGGGGCAGGGGCAGGCTTTTGGTAGACCATGCTGTTTGACTTTGTCGGACCGCCGCTGCCGTGTTAGAATTGGTAGAAAGGCAAGGCCAAAAGGCAAATGCATGCATTAGTGAGATGTAAAAGTGTGTATCCCTCTGTAATCGTAATTATAAAACTGCTCAGAAGCACCGTAGCAGGTAAGACTGAATGGAGTGACTTGTGCTGGCTTTAAGGCACTGCTTCCCACCAGGCAAGCCTTGTCATCCAGCTGTGCTTTTGTCACTCTCTGATGTGGGGTTCCCCTCTGTATGCTGTGAATATGTTTTATTACCATTGGTTAATAAAGCCGCTGCTTGGGCCTATAGCAGGGCAGAATAGAGCTAGGTGGAAAAACCAAACTGAATGCTGGGAGAAAGAAGGTGGAGTCAGGTAGCTGCCATGTAGCTGCCGAAGGAGAAACATGACAGAACCTTACCAGTAGGTCACAGTGTTGTGGCGATACATAGATTAATAGAAATGGGTTAATTTAGGATGGAAGAGCTAGCTGGAAATAGGCCTGAGCCACTGACCAAACAGTGTTGTAATTAATATAGTTTGCGTGTGATTATTCGGGTCTGGGCGGCCAGGAAGTGTAAGAACAGTCTCCGCCTACAACCCTACACTACATACACAACACACACTAAATATACACACATACATGCACACCACATACGCACACACCACACACTACATACACACACACCACACACTAAATATACACACACCACATACCACATATGCACACTACATACACAGACATACCAAACACACTAAATATACACACACCATACACACACCACATACATACACACGCATACACCATACACACACCACATACATACACCACACACACACAACGACAACACTTAGAACTAACAGTTCAAGGTTCGGAGTGTTGAAGGTCCTTCTGACCTTTCTCTTACCTGACCTTTCTAGAATGCCACTAGGTCCTACCATCTTGTTCTTCCACATTCCTGCCATGAGCACCCTTGGTTTTTCACTGTCAGTCACCCCAGAGCGGTGCTGTTTTGTCTTGTGGCCACAGTCTGGCCCTCATCTTTTTCCCTTTTCTCTACTCCGTGTCAGTTTGCCTGCATTTCCAGACCTTTCTCCGCTCTCACTGATGTGGGCTTGAACTGTCTACCGTGCCACAGATGGTGACTCCCGGGACAGTGTTCTCAAACCTTGTGTTAGTTCCCCATTGCTGTTACAGCAAATAACAGCAGAAAGGACAGCTCAAAACAAGGCACATTTATTACCTTGCGCTAAGTGGGTGGACAGGGCTGCATTCCCATAGGAGAGTCCGTTTCCAAGCACACATTCCTCGTGGTCCTTTCCATCCTCCACGCTGGCACTCACCGTCCTTCCTGTTCCTGCCTCCCTCCTGTCATCTCCCGTCTTCACAACCCACATTGGGCCCATCCCAATAATAATCCAGGACAGCCATTCAGTATCAACATCCTGCATTTAAATCCTGTCTGTAAAGCCCCACTCAGGAGATCCTTATGGAGTTTGATAGCCATTTGGGCAAGAAACTGCTCTTGCCTGGACTATTGCATAAACTGGACACAGAGAACCCGCAGAGAGAGGACTGCTGAACTTGCCTAAAGGTGAGATGATCTTTCGGGGTTCCTGATTCATGAAAGAGTCTGCAAGACATTCTTCAGGACAAGCAGATAGTGACTGCCTTTGAAAGTTCCTGCTTTGTGGAAATGTCTGCTGGAAACTATGGGCCTCTAGGCTGAAGATGGATGCCCCAACGGTACAGAGGAACTTTGGGTGACTGTCCAGGCAGTGAGATGTCTCTGTCATTTCTAGAGTTTGAGAGTTTGCTTATTTCTTATTTGTTTAGGTAATATTGTATCTTTCTGGACTGTTTGATGGAGTTAAGAATAGTTAGCTATAGTTATAGTTTTTCTTAGTTATGATATAGATTATTGTAATTTTTACTTGATAACTGTTTTGTTATATGTAATTTTGCTATGTTAAGTTAAAGCCCTTTTTTTTTTTGTTTAAACAGAAAAAGGGGAAGTGATGTGGGAGTGTCATATATCAATCTGTTGATTTCATTGGCTGAGCAATAAAGAAACTGCTTGGCTTAGCTTAGAGCATAGATGGGAGGAGTAAACAGAATAGAATTCTGGGCGGAAGAGGAAGTGAGGTCAGACTCTGCTCTGCTCCCAGAGAGACCCGACAGCTCTGCTGGAGCAGAGATACCATGCTCAGCTCTCCCGGGTAGACGCGATAGCTCTGCTCTCTGAGGCATATGCGATGAAGATGGATGTAGGCTAGACTCTTCCCGGTAAGCACACATTATTAGAAATGGGCTAGTCCAGGTGCGAGAGTTAGCCTGTAAGGGCTAGAGTTCATGGGCCAAGCAGTTCTTTAAATGAATACAGTTTGTGTGTTGTTATTTCGGGCATGAGCTAGCCAAGCGGCCGGGGTGTTGGGGACGCAGCCCCGCCGCTTCATATTTCAACATAATCTTTT